ATATTTTACCAATAAACAAGATCAACAAATATGTTGGAGCGCACTTCCAAAACCATATATTATTAATATGATAAATAAAAATAAATTAGACCAGAATAAATTAAATCAAATATGATGCAGTGCACTGTCACAACCTACTGAAAACTCCTTAACATATAGCCAACATTTTGGTAAAACATATTCAACATATTCCACTCAGTTAAACGTTGAAGGCTGGCCAACCGTCATGGTCCAGAAGTAACAGGAAATAAATGTTGAACTACAATTTAAGACCAAATAAAAATGTTTTGGCCACCATGGTCACACCATGCTGGTAGGGCTGCTCATGTCATCTCTTAAAGATTTTTTGCAAGAAACACCAGCCTGTTTACATGTCTGGTTTCAGAGATGAGCACAGGCAGGTGACGATATTGCCACCTGTACTGAAGACCCTCAGCCACGCCCCGACACATGGGGTGACGCCGGCCAATCACAAAGCTTTGATGCGTGCAAGTGCATTATTCTGGCACAGGAAGATTATGTTACAGGACATAAAACAGAATATTGTTGTTCTATTTTTAGACACATCTCGCGATCGACTGGTTGGGCACCCCTGGGCTAGACCATAGGTCTGTTGTGGTCGCAAAGTAGTCAGCTGAAGCCACATCTCTCTCAACTTCCCCACGGCATTTGTCATATAGTGCAGGCAGCGCAGACCTGCTGAAATAATACCGAGACGGCATCGCGTAACGCTTGTCCAACGTGTTGACAAGTTGCTTAAAGCCCTGGTTGCTAACAGTGCTAACTGGGCACATATCTTTAGCGATGTGAAATGTAATGGCACCTGTAATATCTCTGTGTCTCTGCGAGCTCGTCGCGTAGGCCGTTGCTCTGTACAATGCGTCCTGAATCGATGACTGTGATGATGTGGTGGATGAAGTCGAGCGGGCATCTGCTTTTTGTTGTATTACTGCCCGGTCGTATTGTACTTTGTGGTTGTATTTCAGATGATTAAAGAGATTGGTTGTGTTAGCGTGTGGTGCCAACACAACCTGGTAACAAATCCTGCACTGTACTTTATTTTGCTCCACGTCGGACTCCTGAAAGCCAAAGTACTTGCAAATAGTGGAAATAGTTTGACCCTTCTTTTTAACGAGTTGCTGCTCTTGTTCTGACATCTTCGCTCGCGCTGAACACTCACAACACATGTCACTCCCACGTGGCCGAGTGGGCTTTTAGGGAGGGGCGAAAGCGCACCCAGCAAAATAATCGTATTTTGTCAATTATGCTGTTTTCATAATCGTCGCAAGCCATAATCGTAATCTCGATTAAAATACGATTAATTGCACAGCCCTACTCTGTAGTATAGACAGGTGTGGAGTCTTTTATTAAACAAATGAAACAGCACATGTTGTCAGATTTGTGTAAGTGGGGCAGTGAAAATGGAAGAAGTGCTGTGTTTGCTGATTTAGAGATGGATAGCTGCTCAGGATGAATGAATAGACTCAGACAGATATGGGACAAAGACAGATGGAGTTCAAGTGGGGAAAAAAGCCTGACAGAGCGACAGATGAGTTGTTTGGAAAATACACGTCGGTACAGGTTGGATGAGGAATGAATTGTGGAGGAAAGATTGACAAAGGAGAGAGTAACGGAAGGACAGTGGAGAGAAACGTTACAAGAGACAGACGTACAGATTATACATCATACTGGCTTTTGCTGAATTTCCTCTGTAATAATAATGTTGTCTGCAAAGAATATTTGCCTCACAACACACAACAAAGCTTAGAAACCCTGACATATGTAAGGATTGTTTTAAGGCAAGCTTGTTTAGAAAGCAAATAAGGCAATTAGTGCTTTACAGTATCATCCAAAGCCTTGAAATAAAGAGTAAAAAGGCCCATCATAAACTGACATTCAAATACATTTAATTACCACAGAAAACACTAGTGGAAAATACATGTACCACCCCCACAAATTATGTCATGTAAAAAGTCATGTAGAACAGAGGTGTCTTAGTTATTTACGTATTTATTTTTGGAAACATTTAATGGTTAAATATAATGGTAAATTCCCAGCAGCTAATATATACAGTAAACATGAGCTTGGTTTGTTTTACATTTTCTTGAAATAAGTGCCAAACAGTTGGCTTTGATATCCAGACTCTAGGGTTAAAGGGGAGAGATAGTTAGAGAAATGTGAGCTGAGAAAGAAAACCAAACAATAGGTTATTTCACTCTAAACTCTCTCATCGCTCTTCCTCATCTTTATCCTGCTCTAAACTGCCTTGTCATGTGTCCAGGCAGAGGTAGTTGTTTTGAAAACAGTGCACACACACACATACACACACACACACACACACACACACACACACACACACACACACACACACACACACACACACACACACACACACACACACACACACACACACACACACACAGTGTCCTAATCAAAGCCAGGCTCTGCACATTGTGTCCCAGTTGGGCAGCTATTTTTATCTACAGCACTCTAACAGGGATGGAATGGGTCAGATAGGCCAGGCTGACAAATCCATCAAGACCAACAGATAAACAGCCTGCTAGTACACACACACAAACACACACACACACACACACACACACACACACACACACACACACACACACACACACACACAAAGTTATAGTACACAAATAAACCAATAATGTTTATTTATCACAGATGCAAACTTATACGCGCCTTGCTCTCTTTTTTGCCTCTCCCACTTGCTGAGATACACACACACACACACACACACACACATACACACTCACACTCACACTCAACTACAGGTAGTTCATGTATTGTTCTATCTTGTTATGGTTCCCAGCAGTGAGATATGTGTGATTATATCCGTATTCCCTTGTTTGTTCTGCCTCCTTAATACCTGAATCTGTGCCCTCCTACACTCCACATGCACAGTCTGTCCTGCCAAATTAGCACCATGGCAAATCATCAGGCCTACACACGAATGATGCTGTAACACGCGCACACACACACACACACACACACACACACACACACACACACACACACACACACACATACACACACACACACACACACACACACACACACACACACACACACACACACACACTTGTGGTTAGAGACACATGATTACTGATTTACCGTTGTGAGAGTTGGCAGTGATCCCGTTTCTGGCTTGTTAGTTTCGGATTCAAGTGCTCTGGCTTGGACCCAATTAGTTTCTCTCCCTACCTTCCTCTCTCTGCATTTACCTTTGTGTTATGACTATGTGTTGGATATCATTTGAATTTTACAAAACCCCCCAAAAAACACAGGCAGTTCCTAAGATAAACTGAGATCATCAATCATTTGTGTTGAACATACATATCAGTGTTTGTATTAACTTGTATCTATATGCTTTTAACCCAACATACAACAGCACCTTAAAGGACATTTAACAGCTATAGATGTGTGTAGTGTACATAGTGCCTTTAAAACATTTACAGTATAGTAAATTCACAAGTGCTGTGAGAGTTTCTGAGTCTTCCTTACACTCAGGTCACACCAACTCTATTAGCCTGAGCCACTTAAGCTGTGTCAGCTCAGGTTATACACCTACCCTCTTTATATATATGACAAATGAGAAATGACATCATTTGCTAACAATCCCCTTGTCTTAATGTGCGACTGTTACTTCTTGGACGTGGTTGAACTAGATATATCTGAGCATAACCCAGCATTAGCCTCCCCTTCTACCTTTTATATTATCTTATAGGTTTTCTAAATAAACAAGTATACAAACAGTCATTGGGGAGACATAAAGATGCAGCTCAAAGGAAAGTCAGATTGAACCGTGCACAAATTGAACTTGATATATCATTAGTTGGTGGTTGCATGTCAGTAAAACTCTTTCTTTTCCTGGAGTTTTCTGTCAATATTGCTGTTTTCTATATTGATTAAAAATATTTAGTTTGCATTTAACAACTATATTAGCCAGGGGACCTCGTTAAATCTTGTTTACTTAGCCTTTTGCACGTTCTGTCTGTCTCTCTCCATACCTGTCTCTCTCCATGTATCTATTTCTGTTTCTCTATTCGTCTCAGCCTCTTTCCTTGCCTTCTTCTCTCTCTGTGTCTCCTTCTATCTTATGTGTTGCCAATTCAAAATAGTAACACACACATTTGCGACCACAGCTTTTCTTCGAACATCCATATGTGCCTTTTATAAACATGCACACATTCAGCGCTATGCTCTCGATCCTAACACATACACACTCCTGTACAGCTTATTGGGCCATATGATAGTAATTTGGCAATATGGCAGGGGGGCTGTGGGATCCAGTTTACTGGCAGGAAACAGGAAGTCGCCTCTATACTTTTATCTGTTACTGTCTCATTACTGGATGCATATAAACGTGTGAGGATATATACTGTTCCATTGATAGTTGTCTTCAAGATTGTCCATACCTCTTGTTTGCTCTCTTTTTAATGTATGATGGGATTTGTTGTGAGATCAAATACTGATTAATTCACTTGTGCAGAGTCCTGTATGCAAAATCATAGTAAAAAAGGTTTCTTATTCAGCCAGTTAGCAGTGTAGCAGAACTCCAGAAAAAAACACACACCTTAAGTATTTTGTTATCATATATCAAGAATATCGACAGACGTTATCATTCATTATAACTAAACACAAATTATTTAAATATATACTATTTTGTTCCTTTTCTCTTTGGTTGATTACTTCTTCCTGATAAAGAATCTTCCTCCCTATATGCTAGTTGCTAACTTTGTGTGTCTGCTATTCATTGTGAACAAATGGAGTATAGCCAGTATAACCATTGACTAAAAGCCCCTAAAAATATCAGCTGGTAATTTCTCTGAGAAATTGAGCAGAGCTACTCCTCAGCCATGAAGCATTAGATCTATTTTTTTGTATACACGATATTGATTACAACTGTATGTGGCTTATTTGTTTTTATGATGTTTGTGACATGTGTCCCATGTTTGTAACGGTGATATCTTGTTTTTCAGGTGCGTAACCTGTGCTACATGGTGACTCGGAGAGAGAAAATGAAGCACACACTTTGTGACCTCCAGGAGAAGATATTCCACCTGCAGATACAACTCCTGGAAGAAGATGTCGCTGGCGGTAAGAAAGAAAGAAATCGTGAGTGTCTTGTGGTTTTTCTAATTACAGTTGTATAAACAGGCCAATGTAAAAACCTGTTACCTTTCACCCACTCAAGCGCTTTAGCCAAGTCCGCGCCAACACACACTCTGGCCAACCAAATAAAACATGTACGGTTTGGAATCATAAAGTGCTTAACGGTTACATCCAAACCCTTGTTGACTGAGAGTGGTGGGTGGACAGATTTTGGAAATGGCCTGTCATCATTTTTGCACAGTAGGCCACACTTGACACCTGCAGAGCAAAAACGCAAAAATAATTGTTCAGCCAGATATTGTGGCACACACCATCCACTAAATGGAGCTCGATTTCCTGTCCACTCGACCACAGATGACTGACCTCGATTCATTTCTATGGGACAGAGAACAGGAAGGACGAAGCTGGGTGGTTGAGATGATTCTGCTGTGTTGGCAATATATCTGCTAAATGGGACCAAGCTTGAAGTGGTTATCCTTTTAAGAATATTATATTTTCACTACTTGTTATGGTAGACTACATTTGTCTTTTATAGTATTTTATCATTTTTCCTCAAAAAGAAAGATACCTCTATGTTTTACAAATAAAACAGGTAGAAATGTATTGAAACAACTTTACAAAGGAGAGACTAAAAAAGGCAAGACATTCAATAAAAGTTAAGACAATAAACTAAAGAAATGGTGTAAAAACAATGGATATCTAAACAACAATGCAGCCTTTTTTAAAGAGAGCTATTTTAAAGTCATTTTGTAACTCCTGACTGATCAATGCCCCTTGGTAAGACTATGAACAAAAAAGCCTTTCCAATCATCACCTTTTAACGTCATTAGTCTGGATTTAAGTACATCTAGTGAGGTTGAATCCGAGCATCTGAAGCCAGGCTCTGGTGTGCACGGGGATATGTGGTCAGATGCTCAGCAAATGTATCCAGAAGCTTAACTGTAAGCAACAAAATCTTAAAATCCATACTCAAACGGACTGGGAGCCAATGTAGAGCATTGAAAGCTGGTGGGAGATTGTCATATTTCTTTGAACATCTATTATCTCTTTATCGATTCGTTTGGGTCTTCAGATAGAACAGCTCCATACATATACAGGCTGTAAGCTCTCAAACATGGAGAAAAATATCATCAGATGTACAGTATGCCAGGGACACTTGATACAATTTCAGCTCAATGAGTTCTTCAAATATGAAAACAAACATACAACTTAGCTCTTCCATTCGTAAATAAAGATAGTACATAATATACAAATGTTCTTGAAAGAAGGAAGACCTTTGAGGGACATTAGATAATATATATTTTTCTTAAAACTCTACAAATGGTTCGGTTTTTAAGAAGTAGAAAAATACACTAAAGCTACCTAAACGGAACAAAAAGTCTAAAAATCACAGTATTCATTACTTCAAAAAGGCACTCAAAGAGCATTGTCCTCCACCATGGCCAAATGCTCTATCTCAAATGCTCGATTATGGAAAAAATCCTAATCTCGATTATTTGGGTCAATAATTGATATCACGATTATTAAAAAAGATTATCCATTTACTTTGAAAACATCCATTTCTAAAAAAAATTTGAACAGTATGTTTTTAACAGTTGATTACCCTGAACTTTAAATATAATTCAACTGAAAAAGCAATAAAAAAAAAAAATAATAACATTTTTTTTTTTTTATTAAAAATTATCGTTTTATTTTGATTATGTTGTTTTTATAATCGTTGCATGCCAAAATCGTAATTGCGATTAAAATATGATTAATTGAGCAGCCCTAAATGAAAGTGTACCAAAATGCGTCGATCTGCCCTGTGATTCAGATCTGCTTCCTATACTGCACCCCTCAACCAAGTTTGAAAGCAGGCCAAACCGCAGAGGTATTAATTCATAAACAATATTTGCGATCTGTACTCTTAAGATAACAGCTTCCTTTAGGTCATTAGTAGATAGTTAGAAGCTTATCTGTGAGATACATGTCAGCTGAAAAAAGCGATAAAACAAAGGTTCAAGGGGAATAACAGAGAGACCCTTTAGCTAATTAGTTTCTCATTGGCTGCCAGATTTAATGGTGATGTTGGTGAACCTTAGTTACCGCGACAATAGTTAATTGCTGTTGTTACCAAATAACAGTGACCTGTATTTGGCTTATATAATAGTGTTAAAGGACTCCATTAGCTCTCGTCGTCGTGACCTGCTGCTGTCATAGCAATGACAGTGAGAGCTTGTTGTCATGGTAATACCAGTTACGTCTCGCTGGCATGGTAATGATAGTGAACTTTTGTCTGTGTGTGTGTGTGTGTGTGTGTGTGTGTGTGTGTGTGTGTGTGTGTGTGTGTGTGTGTGTGTGTGTGTACTCAATTGCAGTGCTCATCATTCCCAAGGCAGGATGCATAAACACACATCTATGCATTGCACTAAATCTTACAAGCATTTTCACTCTCACTGTAACTCCCTCTGTGTCACACACACACACACACACACACACACACACACACACACACACACACAGACTAGAGCTGCTGACTCAGCAGATTGCTGTCATCAGATACCGGGAGCTGTGCTGCTGGCACTAAACAGCCATATCTATTCTCACTGCCACAGGACTTAGATTAGAGAGGATTGTGTGTGTGTGTGTGTGTGTGTGTGTGTGTGTGTGTGTGTGTGTGTGTGTGTGTGTGTGTGTGTGTGTGTGTGTGTGTGTGTGTGTGTGTGTGTGTGTGTGTGTGTGTGTGTGTGTGTGTGTGTGTGTGTGTGTGTGTGTGTGTGTGTGTGTGTGTGTGTGTGTGTGTGTGTGTGTGTGTGTGTGTGTGTGTGTGTGTGTGTGTGTGTGTGTGTGTGTGTGTGAGAGAGAGAGCTGCAGAGAGTGAAGGATGAGGTTGTCTGCTAAAATGATTTACTGTGTCCCTCACCTTGTATCTACCTCTTTTCTCTGCTTCTTTTTTCTTTCTCTCTTATTTTCCACTCTCAATTTTTCTACATCCTCTTCTTTAATCTATTTTTCTCAACCATCTGTTGTCTTGCGTTGCCTTTCACTCATCTGCAGTGTCCTTTCCTCTCTCCTATTATATGTGTGGTTGTCTGATCATGCCACTCTGTTTCAGTCAGTCCCTAAATTCTGGTCCGTTTTTATTTTGTCCCTCACATAAACTTGTTTTGTGGCATTAAAAGTTACTCATAGCCTCGCCCAACAACATAGACACATTGTACTGATAAAGCCAGATGGGAATGTAAACTAAACAAACAAAAACAATCAATACATACATTTGAATTAATCGGTCATTTTCCATTTATTGTCATCTGGCACCAGTTTTGACCCAGTCGGTAATATTTTCTGTGATCTTGTAAAAATACAGGCTTAAAACAATAAGCAGTATCCAAAAATGTTGGATATCATGTTTCAGTTGTTTTCGTAAAATTGGTCTTAACATCGGATTCTAGGCAGCACAGAAGGTTCACAAGTATAAGCACGTTTTTCAGATTTTTTTTCACGCAGATCACGTCATGCACCAGCACCACTATCCTGTCTCCCTTCATCTCCCTCAGGACTTTTTTTGAATACACACTCCTCTTCTAACCCACCTGAAACAGAACTACAAACCTCTGTCCGCCTGTCTGTCTCTCATAGTTCTTAATCTGTCAGGTTCCACGTTCTGTGTGCCAGTCCGCCTGTCTGTCTGTCATGTTTATCTGCCTGTCTGTCATGTCGGGGGCAGCTCTCGTCATGCTTTGTGAATGCTAGCATGTTACCAGCAAGGTGGTCGACCGGCCGGCGGGCCATATCCCTGCTGTCCCAAACTCAGAGAAAGAAGCTTGTTGCACAAAGTACAAGGAAGTCTGTTTGATGATGATGATGATGATGATGATGGTGATGATGATGATGATGAGGATGATGATGATGATGATGATGATGATGATGATGATACAACTACTAGATTATCATGAAGAAAGATAATGATATAATTGCAAAGTCTATATAAAATTGGCAGCAAAAAAAAATGCTTTTGATCAAAGTTCTATTTAACCTTGTTTGTTATTATTATTTGTTTCAATATGACAGTTATCGTCAATATAGGTGTTTTCTTTATACTTCCCTAGATAGCATTTAAAAAATAAACACAGTGATTAAAACCTGCACATTTTTAAACATACCGACGCACGTAAAAAAATACAGGTCCAGTTATATTCTACACACACACACACACACACACACACACACACACTATTATTGTTATGCAGGAAGTGCAGTGCATTTACATTCTGACTCCAACCGAGTTGTGACAAGCTGACAGTGGTTAGTATTGGTCTCTCTGATCTGCTGTCATAATGTGTGTGTGTGTGTGTGGGGGGGGGTGTGTGTGTGTGTGTGTGTGTGTGTGTGTGTGTGTGGTGTGTTCTGTGTGTGTGTGTGTGTTGTGTGTGTGTTCCTGTGTGTGTGTGTGTGTGTTCCTGTGTGTGTGTGTGTGTGTTCCTGTGTGTGTGTGTGTGTTCCTGTGTGTGTGTGTTCCTGTGTGTGTGTGTGTGTGTGTGTGTTCCTGTGTGTGCATGAAGAATAAAAGAAGGGAGAAAATAAGGAGGGAGGAAGTTTGGGATGAGAAGGGACACCAAGGTAATAGGATGAAAAAAGAGTAAAAGAAGAGAGAGGAACACAAGTAGCAACCATGAGTGTGAAAGGACAAAAGAAAAAAAGGTAGAGAGAGGTAGGAAATGACAGTAGGCAAGAGAGAGAAAAAACATTCTCATATTGCACTAATGAGCTCAGGTAAGAAATGGGACCCAGTGGCTACACACAGACAGACTCACACGCTGCAGTTCAGTGCACCTAGAAAGAGGGGAAATTAATCACAGACTTCAAAAAGACCAATCCCCTGGTGCTGTTGCACCTTCTAAACAAGAAAGTGAAGGCGGTTTGGAGGGGACTATAATATTGCAGGGATGGAGAGAAAAGCAACGGCACAATGTAAAGACAAAAGAGGGGGGGAAAAAGCCCAGATCTGACAAAAAAAGTGTTTG